AACACCGGTGAAATCTAGAAGATTATAAGTAACTACTTTGAAACCTTGCATTTAATAAATTGACTGACTGTAGGAGAAATGGACAGATAGATGTCTACGCACATATGATTTACAAAAACAAAAACAAGAAGATAGTCCAGTAGCATGTGATGAAACTGAGGCAACAAAACAAAACAAAACACCCCCCAAAAACTATCAACTAAGAAAAGCAAAGGACCCAATGGGCTCACTGTTCAATTCTACAGGAACTTCAGGGAGGATCCAATGACAATACTCTTCAAACTTATGAATGAAATGGAAGGGGAAGGAGTGCTAACTCATTCTTTGAAGCTAGTCCTACCCCCATACCAAAACCTGAAAAAAAACTTCACAAAAAAGAAAAGCTACACACCCATCTCTTCAATGAATATATATGACAAATATCCTCAATGTGAAACTGGCAAACAGAATGCAACCATTCATTAAAGAGATCACATGTCATGATCAAACCGGCTCCATCTCTAGGATGCAAGGATGATTCAGTATATGTAAATCACTAAGTGCAAAATATAATATAAACAGAAGCAAGGATGAAAACCCCATGGCCATCTCAACAGATGCAGAGAAAGACTCTTCCAAAATCCAACATTTAGTTATAATAAATACCCTGAGCAAAATACACACAGAAAGACCTTATAGCAACTTAGTAAAAGCCATTCATGACAAATCCACTGTCAACATCAGAGTAAATGGGGAAAATTGCAAAGCTTTTCTCCAAAAATCAGGAACAAGGCAGTTTTCCACTCTTACCACTCCTGTTTAACACAGCACTTTAAATATCAGCCAGAGCTGTAAGGCAAGAGAAGAAATTAAAGGGATCCATACACCAAAGGAAGAATACAAACTATCCTTTTTTTGCAGATGACATGGTCCTGTACATGGAATATCCAACAAATTTCACCAAAAGGCTCAAAGAATAAACAAACTCCACAAAGCAGAAGGATACACAAAGCAACACATATAAATCAGTAGCATTCCTGTACATCAATAATGAACACACTATGAAAGGCATTAGTAAAACAATACCATCCACAATAGCTTCAAAAAATTAAATAACCAGCTATTAACTTAACCCAGGAAGTAAAAGACCTCTACAACAAAAACTATAATACTCTGATGAAGGATATCACAGACAGTAGAAAATGGAAACATATTCTCTGTTCTCGGACAAGCAGAATTAAGATTGACCAAATGGCCGTATTACCAAAAGTAACTTATAGATTTAATGAAATTTAAATGAAAATAGCAACAGCATTCTTCACAGAAATAGAAAAAAAATCCTAAAATTTGTGTGGAACCAGAAGAGAGCCACCAACATAATCTCAGAGCTCAAGCTATATCACAAATTGATAGAGACTAAAAAACAGCATGGTACTAGCACAAAACGTACATGTAGATCAATGGAACAGAGCAGAGGATTCTGAAACAGCCTTGAGCACATGGAGACATCTCATCTTTGACAAAGGGGCCAAAAACACATACTGGAGGAAAGACAGCCTCTTTAAATGGTGTGGGAAAAACTGGATCTCAACCTGCCAAAGATTAAAACTAGGCCCTTATCTTTCACCCTGCACTAAATTAAAATCCAAGTGGATTAAAGATCTCAATTTTAAAACAGAAACACTACACTAAACTCGCTGAATGATAGGTATCTTTCCCAAAGAGCTTAAGACATCATAGGATAGAGATAGATGCATAGCAATGATTATAGCAGCACAATTCATTAAGAGCCAAATCCTAGAAGCAGCCTGTATATCCATCAGCAGCTGAATGGATAAAGAAAATGTGCTTTCTATATATAATGAAATACTAACTGGCTATAAAGAATGACACATCTGAGCCAATTTCAGGAAAATGGATGTGCCTGGAAAATATAACGTGAGTGAAATAAACCAGACTAACAAGCTTAAGTATGGTATGGCTTCTCTCATTCGAGTGAGGCAAAGTAGAAACAAAGAAAATGACAAAGGATGGATAGAAAGATACAAGGGGATGGATCTCTTGCAATAGGGAATGGGAACAAAGGCAAGGGGTGAGGAGGAGCGGAAGAGGAAATAGGAATAATAAAGATATACCACGTACAGGAACCCAATCATCCAATTAATGTCAACATTATATGCCATAACATGAACCAAGGCAAATAATACCAACAGGAATGAAAAATGGGATAGAGAAACTGGAAGAGATGGGAGGGGAGGGGACCTCTGAGAAGGGGATTTAAAAAAAAGAGAAAATAATACGCTATAATATGTACATGTAACCATTTCCCAAGATGATTTTAAACTAAATGAAAAGCAAAATATACTAATAAATTTAAAAATTTACAAAAAGAATCAACAAATACTATTATATCAAAGTTTCTTCACAGCAAAGGTAAGAAGAAACAACCCACAGAATGGGAAAAATTGTCCTCCGATGACTAATGCCTACAATTATAAAACTCAAGAATAATTAGACCTCCCCAAATAAAAGTCCCAATAAAAAATGAGCAAATGAAATGAATAGACCCTTCTCAAAATGAATACAAATGGCCAATAAGTATGTGAAAAATTGTTCAAAATCACTGGTCTCTAGAGAAATCCCAATTAAAATAACAGTGAGACCCCACCTTACACCAGAAAGAGTGGCAAACATCAAGAACTCAAAAACAACAAATGCTGGAGAGGCTGTGGGGAAAAGAGATTGTTCTACATTGTTGGTGTGAGTGTAAGCCAGTGTAACCACCATGTGAATCACTATGGAGTTTCCTTAAACAACTAAAACTAGAAATTCCATTTCATCTGGCTATGCTTTTTCTAAGTATCTTTCCCAAAGACTTAAAGACATTACCTTTCAGTGAAACACACATACCCATTACTAATAGTAGGACAAACCATAAAAGCTAAATCTTGAAAGTGGACTACATGTCCATTAACAGATGAATGGGTAAAGAAAATGTGATATATACATTCATATATATTCAAGGGAGTTCTGCTCAGATATATAGAAGGATAAACTTTAGTTATTTGTAGGAAAATGGATATTCTTTGAGACCATCATGCTAGTGAAATAAATCGGTCACAGAAGCTTAATGTATCAGATGGTTTCTCCTACATGGGAAACCCAAAGTATAAATAATTCAAACAGCAAAAGTAAAAGATTATAGGATACAGGGAGATAGATTTTTGCAATATACATATATCTGGAGATAGATTTAAGAAAGAGGATCAGAAGGGGAAGCAAAAAGGACTAGATTGCATGCAATATGTACCTTTACCAACTCCCCAAGATGCATGTATTTATTATACAATATAAACATTACTAATAACATGTTTGTTCCACCTTTAGAGATCTCAAGTGATGGCTCTTGCTCAGAACAAAGCAAGTTTTTATGTTTCAAAGATTTCACCAATGCTCTGCTTTAACTAATCTGGGATTAGTTGCACATTATTTTTCTACTGTAAGTAGTATTTCAGAAAGAATATTTCCTACTTTTTCACATAAGAAGGTCCCAAGGGTGGAGATATATTCCCTCTATCATTATCCATATTCCTTTCTGGTTCTTGAGACACTTTTTGCAGATGTTAAAGTGGCACATTAGTTTCCTTGGCTGGATTCTCAGATGCTTTTTCTGTAAAGGTGCATTTTTTATTCAGTTTATTCATATTTTGTGGGTATACGGTACTGTTGCATTCATTATTGGGATCTTGTACCTTTACATGATAGGTCTTGGTTCTCATCTTTTTCCTATTGTCCCTGTGCTCCCTTCACCCCCCGTCCTCCCCTCCATATTTACAAACAATTTATTTCCATATTTTCATTTTCTCATATTTTTTTCTTTTCCCTTATTACCTTTCCCCTACCCTTCCCACTTTCCCTACACCTTTAGACCTTTTCTTCCTCTTTCACATGGTCAATTACCTCAATGTTTTTAAAATAATCTCATTCTTAATCAAAAGGTTTGGAAAATAGAAAACTAGAAAAATTAAAATTTAGCTGGTTTGATTTCTTCCTATATTTAGTTACTTCCTCCTCAGTGAATTCTAAAGAAGAAAGGAAAAATAATATGCCTTACCCTAAAACAAGAGAAAAATATGAACCAGGAAACATAACTTTTTCCATGTTTGTGGCGACTGAACTTAAATATGTGCTAAATTTACCAAAAATAAATTAGATGATGCTTAATGTCATAAAGCTTTTCTCATATATTTTACATCACTATTTTTAAATAATAAACCCTTACAGTGCATTAAAGTAATTTTCTAAACATTAGTAGCTGGAGTATAGACAAACTTTAAATTACAAAGACACAAAATCACCAGTAGAATGACTCAAATTATAGACCATGAAAGTGTGTGCAAGTGTTATGAATCTATATGAACTACCTGTGTTAAATCCACTTCTAACATGTTCTAAGTCAGCACTAAGGACAGTGGATGAAAACATTTTAGTAATAATTACCAATTTCTTATATTAAAATGAAAGAAGAAAGTTATTATTTGTACCCTAACACCAAAAGTATCATTTTGGAAGGCATGATGCTCTGAATTGGGTTGATTCTATGACACCTCAGTGTAGACATTGAATGTATTAGAGACCAGGAGGCAACTGAGTCTTTAACCTAGAAATTGGTAACATCAAACTCCAATGCTGAGGCACTTGGGAAATCACTGTGAAATATGCATCCAAGTCCATGTTGTCACTGTTACATTGTTTCTAACATCACAGATTATACAAGTGGAAGCACAGACCTTGTTCAGAAAAACATTTGTGCTCAATTCTAAAGTTTAGCTATAAAATACTACAGATTCTTAGAATAGCTTGTTCATAATTACCAAAATTTTAAAGAATTAAATTGTGATTTATTGCAATCTAAAGACTACTCTTTTCTTTACTAAAAGAAAAGTAAATGCATTTGGCCTAAACTGCCATATTAAAGCAAACAAAACAATATTAAACCAGGCATATAAATGTAAAATTTTACCCACCTGCTCCTGGATATTTTCACAGCCATCCAGCCTTTCTTGCCCTTCTTTTGGTACTTCTGAAAAAAATGTATATACAAAGGTAAAATAAACTATTTAGAATGGTTACCTAAAAAGCAAGAAACTTTATAAAATAGAAAATAATAAAAATTAGTAATACAATTTTTTTCTCAGTGAAGAATTTGAATTAAGCCTAATTTTTAGCTGAATGCTTCAGAAATACTTTTAATTATCCCCAAATTAACAAATCATGTGGAAAGACATTAGATGACACCACATGGAAGACATATAGGTCTCTTAAAAGATTCATCATGAATTCATCCACTCAGCACAGATGAACTCTCAGAAATGTTTAAAATACCACAGAAATATGTAAATCCACACTGCACATTATTTTCTACCTCATCATAGTTACTTTTAAAGAACCCAATAAATGTGTTATCATTAACGGTTTCTAATAACTACTGTTACTTTTTTATCTGAGATGTCTTCATCTGCTTTTCTGACTTTTTTTAATCCATATTTTAAGACTCAGTATCTGATATTAACTTTTCCTTGATTATGATTATTTTTCCTAGATACATAGGTGTCTCTTCTTCTGGGTTACTTTAGTACTTTTCTCAATGTTTCTTCTGTATCTTCACCAAATGAACTACAAACATGTCTTTTTAACCCTTTGCTCCTGGACTGGATGGAGCAATCTTTGAAATCATCTTTGTATACGTAGTCTTTCTTCATCTTAACCAAGGATTATTGAATTCTTGATACATGCTAGGCAGTGAGTTTTAAAGAGTGTAAATAAAAGCTACCATGGATGGATTTTCTAGAGGTAACTCCTCAACTCAGAATTACAGGGAGGTTGGCTAGACAGAGGGCAGGAAAGTGAGAATAGAAAAGCAGTAGCCAAAGACCAAAAAAAAGAGGGGGGGGTGGAGGTTGTATTTGTCAAAAAATAGAGGGAGGGCAAAGGATAATAATCACCAGCTGTTAGTAAAGCCACAGAATGATGACGGCAGACAAAGAATAAGGCTGAAGATGCAGAATTACAGGTCAGATCATGAAAGCCTGTAGCTAACTGTAAGATGTTCCGACATTAATGCTTTGAAGAGTGGCTCATGGTCAAATTTGTTTTGGAGATGAATCACTAAAAAGTGTTGAGGATGAGTGTGAGGGCCATATGAATAAAGCGAGGTTGATTAATGGAAGGAAACTGTGCTAAATAAATATAGTGCAGATCAGCACCTCTTAAAGATTCCACAAATGCTGTCTGCAAAAATATTTCAGGTAAGAAATTATGAACACCTGTTGTAGAATGAATTTTTATTAAATGAATAAATGTATTAATCTGGGTCCCTGGAGAGCTGCACTGCTCATCACTTTGCAAATGTGTCAAATGAGAGGCGAAATCAGCTACCTGAATTTGTTTAAATTGCTTGAGTTTACTTTGTAGTTTTGGTTTCATCTTTTCCCCAGTTGAGGGAACTCATTTAAGTGTTCTGTTTAAAATGTCCTGCTCTTGAGTTTACTAAGCTCATCAAAACATGAGAGCTCAGGGTATAGCTTAGTGTTAGAGGAGTGCTTGGCATATGCAAGGCTTTGAGTTTGCTTGAGTTTAATGCTCAGCAGAAGACAGGAGGAGGAGCAAAAAAAAAGTCATTTGTATGGGTAGATAACTTTGGATTTACAGCTTGTAGTCACCACTTCAGAAGCTGACTCATAATCTATTATGTTGCAAGAGTTTTTACTATAGACATGATAACATGATTCAAGGCATTAAATTAACTGGTACGTAAAGTACAATACATATCAGATGCCATATGTCAATAGACAATGTGTCCTAGTAACTGACTTTTATTTATTTATTTATTTTGAAAAATGCAGTTTTATTATGATGGCCTTAAAGTCCTGCGGGCAGAAGTGATCTCTCTGCCTCAGATTTTCAAACACCTAGAGCTAAAACATATACTCTGCGCCTGGCTAGATTTTCATATATTACTTTTTTGTAATTTTTTTTTTTAGTACTGGGGATTGAACTCTGGGCCCTGCATGTGCCAGGCAGGCATAGCACCACTGAACTAAATTCCTGGCCCTGTATTACTTTTAAATGATACAGTACTCCTTATAGCAACAGATTCCTTGGGTACACTGACTGAGGAGGACATGGCTGAGGAGATCCTATATAAGAAATTTTCTATGATTTCCATTTATATTGCAAAACACTATCTGTTCAAAAACAGAAGTTGTAATAATTTACTATGTGGCTTTGGAAGGTTCTTCTTTCAGTTACTCTGAACATAGTTATAAATAATACTTGTGAGTTTAGATGTGCAAAAATACAGATGTCCTGTATCTGACTAGCAATCTGTAGATCTCTACCTAGTTGTTCCATCAACTCTTGAAGCTCTAAGTGCCCTGGCACCCTCTCTCAAGTTTATGCTAAATAATTGTCTAAACCAAAATACGCTGCCTCCTAATTTTCTTTACTATTTATACCTTGCTTTGGTTAGAGAAAGAATAAAACCACTTGTGAAAAGATACTGTTTGGGTGTTGGCTGCTTAGGAAGAATAAAGAACAAAACCCACTGCACCACAAAATGATTTCTGCAAAGTTGGAACTACAGTATTATAAAATCATGCAGAGGTGCTTCGAGTTCTCTAGGCTTTTTATTACAATTTTATGCTGTTTTCTGGTTGCTGTGATTCATACAACATAGTGACAACAATTCCACAATAGAAAAATAGCTCTGACATTCATCTTCTTACTTATTAAGATTGTCTTTCCAAATTCTGTGGAAGGTGACAGAGGTTTAGTCACTGCTTGTGTTATATGTGGATATATGTCATCAACTTTCAAATTCCCTGATCTCTGACAAGTCTTTTCACTGAGAATCAAACTCGTTGAACTCCAATGAGTTTCAGAAAAATCTGACAATAAGATGTAAAGGATAATAAAAATGTAACTAACGTGAATACATTCTTTCCCAGAAGCACTCTCAGCCCCACAACACACTGTAGCCTAGAGTTTATTGTACTTTACAGTCCTGAGAGTTTGATCATCATTGTCACATCTCATTTTTTTTTTCATTTTTAGTATAACTTTGACTGATCCAGCAATCTTTTATACACTTGGTTTCCCATACTCTTTACTATTAAATATTTAGGAATATGAATTTTATAGTAGAAAATGTTCATTTTAAATATACACAATATTCTCTGTACATTCTAAAGACATTTATATTAATGAATATGCTACTTTATGTTATAAAAACTACAATGAATTATTCTTTTTTCAATATCCCAATATCTTCAGAATTCACTTTGTCAATCTTGGATAATACCATAATTTATGTGAGAAATGGTAGCTTTAAGTGACCCAATTGTTCCCGCTTAAAACTGAGTTAGTCTAGGACAGTGATGGTGGACTCCTGGCACATGTGTGCAAGTGGGCTATTTGTTATTAGTGAGAGCTCTGAAAGGTTCACCCTCATTGGTCTAGGTCCACATTAAATCCAAAGATTACAGAGTGCCAGAAGACAGAAAATCAAAGTGTAACAAAAGTATACCCTTTTTTCATAACCAAAATTGTCTGACTTACACTTTTTAAGACAAATGAAAAAAGGAAGTATGGAGCCTAATAGTCAGTTCATAGTGAAGAAATCCCTATATCATGAAAATTTCATGAACCTTATATGTTGTTTAAATGGTAGTTGAATAGTGAGTAAGAATCCCTAGAGTTCAACATCCATTCAAAGGCCTAAGAGAACAAATAATACCAAATATTGTTTTGCCAGTGGTGTTCTCAGAGATGTAATGCATCATGTGGTACAATTCTGATGATTAGTGAGTTGCAGCTCTAAAGAGGATTGGAATGTGTGACTTCATACTTGTATTTTCCCTGCTTCAGATTTAATTGCTAGTAGTGTTCATGGGGACAGATATGAAATATACAAAAAAAGCTCTGTATAATTTGTACTAATTTTAATACTATAAGAGTTCTTATGGCTAAAAAGTTTCAGGATCATTGTTTTGAAGGACTGATTATATTCCCAATTTTTAATGACAAAGATATGAGATACCATACATACATACAAACTCATAACGCATGTTAGTGAGAACATCTATCTGCTTATGATCATCAGAATATTGACACTGAGATGAAATAATTAAAGTTGAAACTCACTTGACATGTTACCAAGCAAAGCTTTACTCTAGGTAAGTATCAGAATTCTAGCAAGCATTTTTTTGTTGTTGTATTTAGAAAGGGGATCCTGGGTATCAGTGAACTTCTTGCCACAACCTCCTGAGTAAGCAGGACTCAGGCCTGCACCACAGAGACCAGATCTCCAGTAAGCATCTGCCAATGTTGAAAACATCTTGGAATCTTGTAATAAGCTCTGTGGATCCCTAACCCGTCTAAGGTTCCAGGCTTCAGATGCTACGGTATTGAACCATAAGTAGAAGCATCTTAACACTTAATTTTTGTTCTCTTATGCTTGCAAACACTTTATTTGCCAAAATGGACATCAACAAGCACATCTGAATTACTTATGCAGAATCCAGCCCAAAAAATGGGGAAAAAATAATGAGAAGACTGTGGGCATCTCAAACATTTTAATGTACTGTACTTTCCAGAGTGATATATATTGCAAAATTTACCTGAGTTGCATGTCCGTAAATCTCCCTTTGCTACTGCTTTTTTCTGAATGGGATGTTTCCTTTCAATGGCAGGCTGAGTGGGGTTTGAAGTGAGATATGTAATAAATACTATGCATTTCATGAAGCATGTAGTTAATTCAAGATATAAATATAAAGTTAGTACCTTCAAGTGAAGACATTTCTCAGATGATTCTAAAAAGCAAAAGGGAAGCATAATCAATTATGTGTAAATATGAAAAAGCCAAAGACACATTCATGCAGGACTGGCATGGAGCTGAGTCCTCATGCTCTCCTTTAGCAGTGATTACTTTAGAGGTTGGGTTTTCACCCCCAATGGTTAGGACAGTATGACAGAAAAATCAGAATACAGGCCTTATGAGACATGCAGTTAAGATTTCCAAAATGACATTATGCTTCCAAAGGCCATAACTAAAATAGAAAAGTGAGCATATAACAATGTGCTTATACACGCTGACTGAAGGAGAAAGTGATCTCAGCAAGTCATGGATGAGAGCATGAACATCAAAGCTGATGCTATACCATTACACTACAAGTATTTAATTGTGTTCTTCAGTTTGTCCTGACATTGTCAGAATTTGTCAGAAAGGACAAAGTTGTAGTAACTGCTCAGTGCAATATATCATTCCTTTTTTATCAGATAAAGGTTTGGACATATACTTGTAGCATAATCGTTGATAAAAATGTTCATTTTTTCTAAACACTTGTGGGCTACTGGAATGCCTACATTTCCTGTATCCTCCAGTTTAGCCATCTTAAAGTTTCTCGATTCACTTATGCAAGAAGGTATACAAATCACATCTAAGAAATAATGCACAGTAAGTTTGCAATATTGAAATAGGGTTATCAAAATAGGAGAGATAAGCTGAATTATCAAAGAATTATTAGCTACTAATCAATTGTTATATCTGAAAATCAGGAATACTTACCAAAAAGCAACAATTTGGGTATTCAAAGAATGAACTCTATAATGTCTCTTGTTTCCAATACTGGTTTGGTACATTATGTCAATCTTTAAAGGATTTGTCTGAATATCCTTTATTGTAGCCATAAGCAATTGCATCAAAAATTAGTTATCTTACAAAAGTCAATGCTCCCCTGTGCAAGTTATTCTCAATGTAAATGAGCACTTATAAATTCAACATAAAGCTCTGAGGCCTTATAGTTACACCCATATAGTTACATACAGAGAGGAGGTGAGTGGCTACAGTCCATTCCAATTCTCCCCTGGCCTAATCATCTGTGGAGCAGCTATAATCTACTGTTCCATTTGTGGGCACATACACTGAGAACTTGAACTAGAACTTGAGTTCTCTCAAGTTTCCTCATTGGTAAGTCCAGAATTACCTGCCTAGTTTCCTTCTTTCCTCTCTTCTTTCTCCTAAACAATCCCTCTGCCTTTCAAAAGTGATCTATGGTCTTGATTATATCCATTTACTCCTTTCCATGGATTATTCTTACTGCTTCTTTTTTTGTTTGACAGTGGTATCATAGAATTATAATTTGTATTTCTTCATCCTCTTTGCTACTTCTGTGGCTAGAAATATTTTTAGATATAGAAAATAATTTTTTGTTTTCCCTTGGCCCTCTTTTCTCTTGAACTATTATGCAATGGCTCTTTGGCCAGATTTCTCTAAAGGGAAGTTGATATCCATCCACTCCCAATGGCCTGAGAACACGTAGCATTGGTATCACCTGAGGACTTACTAGATGCACAGGATCGCAGACCTCTGGAATCAGAGGTACGGTTCAACACAGTCCCCACCATGGGGTTTCATTACAGTGGAGAAGCTCTAGCCTATACACCAGGTCTCTTCCAAATCCCCTTACCTAAAGTAAACTTTTCAGAATCTAGCATTGAGTGTCTCCTCATCATGACCCCCAAATTGAATGAGAATTCATAAGGTCTCTAACGGGCTTTTAAATGGGCTGTGAATTCCCTGACCTTTCCATAATGAATCTTATTTCTTTTATTTTTTTCATTGCTCTTATTCTGGATATACTACATGGTGAAATAGAAACTTTCAAGAGTGGCAACATTTTTTTTATATAATTCTGCAACTAGAATTGTACCTTCATGAATCAAGGTACCATGGAAAGCACATGTATGGCTGATCTTGTATATTTATATTTACCTGTAATAAATAAAACCCAGCTCTGCATAATCTAGTACTTCAATCCTCAATGCACTTGCAACATTGAGAACATAAGTGGAAAAATTCTGCTCCGTTTCATCAAGATTTGATACCGAAAGCTCATTTGACATCCTTACACTTCTCATACCTTGCTCTTCCTTTCTCTAAACAAGTCATTATTCTCCCACCCTGCATACTTTCTTGTTTTTCCTTTATTGCTTGCATTATTCTTCTTATTCTTTACTCCTTCCACTCCTCTTTGTTTTCTAACCTCCCTCAGACTTATAATAGATTGAATGGAACTAATAATTCTGCTCCTTTATTGGCTGTGAAATTCAACCTGTGGTTGACCATTGACATAAGTAACTTATTACTATTTTACTTGTGTTTTTCCTTACTACATGCTCAATACATAAATTTCTTTGGCGATTAGAACATAGTAATGCTCTGGTTTTAAATAAACAAGTTGTCAGATGGCTTTTCTAAATATATACCTATACACACACACACACACACACACATGCACACACATGCACATATATGCACATTTCTTACCTTCTACTTGTGTATTTCCTGTATGGTTTCCTTTTTCATCTGCAGCCCCAGATAAATGATCAACAGACTTCTGTAGAAGATTCTCAGAGATACTCTGATTAAAATAGTACATCAGTATTAGTACATCAGTATCTATGTTGCACAAACATTTCCTAATTATTTTCATGAAAACATCTGATTTTTCTATCTTAAATCAATTAAAACAAGGCATGGTGGCATATGTCAGTAAAGACAGCATCAGGAAGCTCTGACAGGAGGCCTGCTGTGAGTTTGAGGCCAGCCTGAATGACACAGTGAGACATTGCCTCAAAAAGCCAAACAAAGCAATTTGATTTAATAATGGGAAGCATATCCTGAAAACCAGAACATTTCAAAGAGAACCTCCTGTCAAGCCCACTTTGTATCTCCATGTGGGTGACACTGTAAAACAAGCATGGGAAGCCGCAGGAGAGATTCACAGGCAAAATCCTGTCTGGTGTGCATTTCTATCTGGCTTCAGAATACCTAACTCTACTTTGCATTCCCCAACAGGGATAACATTTTTTTAAGGTACAGACTTAAATGAAAAATTTTAAACTATAAGAGGTTTTTATGAGTGTGTGTTTGTGATATATCACACTTGTTTTGGGGAACTGGTACATATGTTATCATTTCTTGATCACTTTTGTTCCTTTACCCCCTGCTCCCCCTTTCCCTTTGCTGATTAAACAGATTCTTGGGAGTGCACTTGTTATAATTCAGCATTCAGTATTTCTAATCAGAGAAGTCATTTTAGTGTTAAAATACTTGTCAAGCTAAGAAATTTCAGTGTCTCACAATGAGTACAAGTAACACTGTAGAAGCTGCTTCTTTTATGTAAACAAGGGCTGAGGGGAAAAATCTAATGTTTTAAGTAAAAATTTTATAGATAGGAAAAATGGCTGGAAATAGAAAAACAAGTTCATGTTATATTGAAACAATAATACACACATATTAGACACTGTATGCACCTCTTTCCAAATTAAGAACTTTGGGAAAGTGTAAAAAGCCTCATTAAAAAGGGCAGCATAAGAACTTTTATTTATTACATTTCTACCATGTTCCAAATTCTTATTTATACACTTTCTGGACAGATGTGGCTCACTGCTGGCTCTGTCCAGAATATCCTCATACACTTTGGCGTGGGTGGCTTCTCCTCCTTAATTTGGCAACAGTTCCCTCTCTTTCCTATCCTACCTACAAACCCCCTCAAAATTCTCTAACCTCCCTAGGCAATGAAGCAGCTTCTTATCACTAAGCGATTAGGCCTTTCCCACAATGGTTCTCTTAGAATAAATTTTCATTATTTACACTTTCATCACTAAAGGAATGGCTGCCATGCAGGGGGTGAATTCCACATTCAATATTGGTTTCTGCTTTTTAAAATATAATGAAATCAAACTGTGATTATAATCCCATGTATTGACAACTCCTCAATCTCTTTCTTCTCCTCAAATGTTCCTTGCAGATCTACAATTATTGGGTTAGTTATTTTTCTCTCCTGTTGAGACAAAATACTTGACACCCGGCTTCTACAGTTAGAGGGGAAAGGGTTCATTTGGCTCACAGTCTGTAGAAGTCACAGTCTATAGTTGGCAGACTCCAAGGCTGGGGTGGCAAACAGGCATCACAAAAGAGAAACAACAGGGCAGCCACAAGGTAACAAAGGCAACAAGGGACCTTCGCCCATCTTCTCCCTCTTTTATCCCATTCAGACTCCCGGGATTACAGCAGCGCTACCCACTCATGGGTAGTGCTTTAGTAATCACATGGCTCTGATCCCAACAGCACACATTCCAGATTCTGCTACTTCTGACTGAATGAGGTTTTGGGGGGACATCCAGGTTCCAACCATAACAGCTGGCATTCCAAATATAGTAACACTTTCAGGTCCCCCTCATTAAGTTTTCAAGTTACAAGCTGTACAAATTATGATCTAAACATTTTTTCTGAATTTCATTGGCCAGAGGCTGACCAAGAATAATAATTTAGCTTTTAGATCAACTTAATTTCAGAATCCAAGCTGACTGCTTGTGACATCTAAGACTTAATTTTTAACTGCACTGGCTTCTTTAAATAAATCCTACAGGTTAGCAGAAATGTACTATGTAGCAGTAACATACATAGACTTCATTCATTCCTTCATCTATTGGATGAGGGATTAAACTCAGGGTCTTCAAACAGCTACAACCCTAATCCTCTTCATGTTTGTTGCAAGAGTTAATTGCTAGGTTGTCTAAGGTTCAACAATGTAATCCTCCTGCTTTAGCCTCCCAGAGTGCTGGGATTGTAGACATACATCATTTTTTCTGAGAGATCATTTTATTGCCTGTGGTTTTAAAAATATGAGGAAATGATTTCTTACAGGCATATGTAGAGGTGAGACAGTAAAGTACAATTATTCTCCTCTATATTTAAATCTCATTTAATGCTTATTAAAAAAATTATAAAAAATAGACAGTACCTCTGAATCCCAAGATGATTCATCTTCTTTTCTTAATCCCAGTAGCAACAACACATCTCTAAAATGTAGCCACAGACACATTAAGGAGAACATTTACTGCTGTGAATTTTAAATACATGTACAAATCTGTCTGCTTTCATGAATGTTTCAATGAGATCAAAGTAACAGTGAGAAAGAATTTCAGAGGGTTGCAGCAGGTGGGGGAAGAAGTTGGTGGTAGGAAAACAAAAAAAAAAACAAAAGAAATGGGCATCGTGTTTTGGATCTACACACTTTTAAAGTAACAGGATATAAACAAGACACTCAGAAATATTCACTAACTTACCACTTTTATATTTTTTGCACCCTCTCCCTTCACCCTCTGCTGCTTTTAACAGTGATGCTGTTGATTCTTCCTATATAGATAGATAAAGAAAAATAATGGATCATCAAAAAACCCACATAGAAATAACAAAGCAAAAGAACAACACAGACTTAGACATTTGCCCACCTACCCAGGCAGTCAGTAAAATGGAAAAAAAACAAACAAATCAATTAAATCACTGGAGTTCCGCTGGAGAAGTGAGAACTGAAAACACATTCTGCTCTATGTGCAAACAGGTGCAGAGATATATGAAAACAAGAACAGAAAAAGTGTATTTCATTGATTCTACAGCTGGGGCCCAAATCAAGCAACAGTCAGTTCCACCCAGGAAGCTCAGGAAAAGCCACACGCCTTTGGTCCTATTTTGAAAGGGAGAGGAAGTGGGCATGAAGGGTATGAAGACCACTCCACACTGGGCAGCATAAATAACACGAAACAACTCGATGAGGCACGAAACAACAGAGCAAGTGAGGGATGCTCAAGTAATGGGACAAAACTGGAATACAGTTCCTCAAATGGATGGACAGATAAGACAGGAGCATCAGGGGCCAACCACACAACACTCTTGTCAGGCTAGAATGGGAACCTTGCCCTCTGTAATGTCGAGCCCATATTCATCAGAAAAGGCCACCATGGCAGCAGTGTAAGCTAGATGAGCATGATGGGGGAGGGAGGAGAAGAAAAGAGTATTATTTCAAAATGATGCATAAGAAAATGAATGCAGATGTGAAAAGTCTGTGAGCACGTAGGAAACACAGAATGTGAAAGGCTGGGTGGATGATCAGGCAGATGGCTAAAGCCCAGGTCTTCAGAGATTCAGTGTCATTTAGTAATAGCCAGGCAAGAGTCAAGGTCAAGTTCTTCATGGCGGAACATCAAATTTGAGGGGCCCAGAGGACTTAGAAGACAGGACTGAGATTACATTTGGAGAGGTAGTAGATGACCTTATTCAGGAAAGCATAGGGATTCAGGAGGATATGTATTTGTAAAACACATTAAACTATAATAAGGCTATCCTACACAGAAGTCTGAAACTCTTGAAATGAAAGCAAAGAAGCAAAAATTGGGGGATTTAAGCTTTCCATTGTATACATCAACATTTGGTTCAAGGAGGTAAACATATACTGTTATTAATATATGCAAATATTTATTCCTGTGATATGCTAATATGAATTTTTAAATTTAATGAAGAGGTTTAATTGTAAAACACCAATTTAAATTTTTGCAAACAGATTCCTGTTTAAAAGCCAATCTTGTAAGTTTTCAATGTAAGTCAGGCATCATGATGTGCACCTGTGGTTCAGCCATGTAAGAGGCTCAGGTGGTATGAGCACTTCAACTCAGGAATGTGAAGGCCACCTGGCAAGCATGAAGAGGCCCCATCTCATAAAACAAAAGCAGGGAGATGGGGATTTAGCTTAGTGGTACTGCTCCTGCTTTGCATGTGCAAGGTCCTGAGTTCAATCCCTGGCACAAAAAAAAAAAAATTGTAGAAGAGAAATGCTGATGTGTTTAGAGAATTAGGCATTTTTAAGAAAGAAATGTAGAACACTATTTTAAAAATTCATGTTGTTTTTCTGTTCCTCTATAAACAGCATATATCAACAGCTCTGATTTCCTATTCATATTATATGGGATGGCAGTTAAAAATTAAAGAAAGGTTGCCACACATTGTGCTACATGCCAGTAATCCCAGCACACTCAAGAGGCTGAGACAGAAGATTACTGTGTGTGTGATGCCAGCCTGGGCTACATAAGGAGCTATAAATTAGCCTGAACTACATAGTGAGATCCTGTCTCAAAAACCAAAATCCAAGAAAGGATCTAGTATTAAAATACAAAACCATCATTTTCAAGATAGAAGATTTCTAACTCTTCAAGTACTTTTCAAATACTCTTCAAATACCTGTCAATCAGGACTCAACATTCATATGAAGAAGGGGCTAAACTAGCTCATCAGTATAATTCCTGAGTTGTAAAATGACAAAATGTAAGTGGAAGGCTTAATAACTATAAATATTTAGGATGGAGTGTATCAAAGCCATTCAATACTTGCCTAGCATGTGGTGGACTTGATCCTAAGCACCAAAGTGGGAAAATCAAATCCCCAAAAACTATGACTACTGAATTGAATAATGCTTCTTTAGAATAACATTAAATATCCCCATTGCTGAAGGTATTTTAAAAATTTGAAAAGAATCACATTTCAGAGATAATTAGCAATCTTTTTTTTCCTGGTGGTTCTATCATAATGGGTAGTTTATTTTAGCGAAAAAAAAATCACAAATTGTGATTTTATTATTTGATGTATCCATATGCATGTCCACTACATGAAGAGATTATTAGAAGATAAATCAGAATCATTCCAGAAATAAATTTCATCATTTTTCCCTTTAAGAAAGATACAGCTTGCAGTTTGTCATAGCTATATCTTGGAAACAGCCTAAATACTGATCAACTAATGAATGGGTAAAGATGTGGGTTTTTATATATACATACAATGGAGTACTACTCTGCCCTAAAGAAGGATGGGCTTCAGATATTTATAGCTCAATGTATAGACCTTGATGCCACATGCTCGGGTGAAATAAATTGGAAACACATGTTTAAATAACACACTGTTTTTCTGCTGTGAGAAACTAAAAGTGCAAATAAGAACTAAAATGTATAACAGATTATTAGGAAATGTGAAGAAATATTCAAATGGGAATGGAAACAAGTGAGGGGGGAGGCAGAAAAGAAGGAAGCAACAAGCAAAAAAGTGCAGAAAATGGAAACAAAGATTTGTATATAGGGAGAGAAGGGGTCTTGAGGTGGAGGGAATGGGAGAAAGTGGTAGGATGTACAATGTGCAGGTGCACATTCTCTATGATGATTATCATTATATGTGCATGAAGTGCACAATAAATGCTTTGCTATAAAAACGTGGTGCTGCTTAAATGTATTTTCTCATATAATGGATAAAGATTAAAAATTATATTGAGGGCTAGGTGGAGCTCATTTTGCTTTCCTATCATGCAGGAAGTCCTGGGATCCCCAAAGTTGGGGAGTGGTAGAAGACTCTCAATTATGTAACTGGGAGTTTTAATTTATGAAATAATTAAATACAGTGCTTATTTATTTTCTCTTTGTTCTCAAGAATATTTGCCAAGACACATACACCGAGCACTGAATTAAACAACAACAAAAAAACACATAAGAATGAGTCAACTATTAATAATTCATAATTATTTTAGTAAGGTTTAAAATGCATTTCATTTTGCATTATCTATCGTAGCAGACAACTCTATCCAGGATTAGCAGGCCATCAGTGGCACAAGCTTCTTGTCCCTCTATAGTTCAGCTGTGTTACCTTAGGAGTCTGACCGAAGCTTTATGCGACTCACATGGGAGTGTCAGGTAGCAGAGTTGTGCTAGTGCTTCTCCTTTGCTAATGGCTGCTACCAATGCTTAAGTCCTAGTCCATGAAGCAGCAGGGCTTTGCCAAGTTCACTTCTAGCCAAGGTCATCTAACTCCAAATAAATTATTCTTCTCGAAGCTTTATGTGACTCACATGGGCGTGTCAGGTAGCAGAGTTGGGCTAGTGCTGCTCCTTTGCTAATGGCTGCTACCAATGCTTAAGTCCTAGTCCATGAAGCAGCAGGGCTTGGCCGAGTTCACTTCTAGCCAAGGTCATCTAACTCCAACTAAATTCTTCCTCCCCACATTCACCATTTGTTCTCCTCAGTAAAGATACGCCGGTGCCCCTGCCTGCCATGCTTGTCATCAGCAGGTGTCCTGAGACCTGCCAAGTTCCCCTCCTTCCCACTCTCATAATGAATAAAAACATGATGTCTTTGTTGCCCTTGGTCTTTGCTGCCCAGGGCATCTTAGATCAGCCCAAGACCCAGCTTCTTCTCTCAAATCTCTGGGTCTGTTTCTTTTGTTCTCTCTTCCCTATCTTGCAGGCAATGTACCTGTCTCACAAGAGAATGAGACACACTGCAGGGGTCACTGACAATGTTCTCTATAATCTATGAATATCAGATTTGTAGGAGAAAACAGGAGATATCACTTTGTTGAAGTTAGCAAAAATGAAGATCACATTTTCACTTCTATAAAATCAATTATAGGCAATTTAAAAGGGTGTGATTTCTAACACATAATAAGAGTTTCTACTCTCATTTGACTTGTTTTTATAATATTTGATTTTGGCTCTCATAATCTTATTATAAAGTCTTGTCTTGTAAATGAGACTTCTCATTCATTGTCAGCTTCATATCATCATTTTTGTTGTTTTCTAATTCTTTACCACTAAAATGACACACATAAGAACATTTTATTCCCATCAACTTCTATAAATCTCAATTCTGTACATAAATCTCTTATTATACTTATTTTCTGTTATGATCTTATGGCCCTATATTTTTTTCTAGGGTCATATGTCACTAAATACATGGGGAAAACTATTTTTAAAAAGATCTTACACTTGATGTTAATTGAGACGGAAGACTGAGAGAAGCTCTCAACATCATCTGATGTTTTAGGATGAGTTTCCACGTTATCTTTGCTTTCACCATCAGAAATACGGTCGTCAAGATGGGTTGTGTTTCCCGATTCCCCAGTGCCATATTTTGCTTCTATATCAAAAAATTAGAGTAAATTGTACATAAAGAAAAAAATCTACAACTTCAAATCAATGAATAGCACAGGAGTGGCCATCTTTATCCAATAGCTTACGCTTTTCCCCGCTTTGGTGAGCAGCAGCCCATAGCTCAGCTAGGTTTACTTTGGGGAGATTCTAGAAGAAAAAAATAATAACCGCATTAAGAATCACAAGTATTAAATCTGATAAAATAGCATTCACCTTTACTACAAGATCTAACATTAAGAGCCCAGGATTTGGAATCATTCAGATATAGATTCAAACCCCAATCTGCCATTTGCTAATCTCCATCTTCTTCAAGGGGTGCAGGCTATGAAAGATGATGTAAATAGCCCATAATGCTACTTCCAATACCTCTAGTTAATTATGTAAATACTAGAACATTTACTAAACTATGTTCTTAACTAAAATAACCAAAAACAAATTTGTATCCCTTTGTAGTTTAGAGTACTTGGAAAAGACTAACGTTTTATGAAATAAAAATTCATTTTCTATTCTATTCTGAACATGTTTGCATGATTTATATTTCCATGAATTACCTCATGAGGAGAAAAATTAATAGCTGAGTTTTTAATAGTATCATGTTTAGATAGGTTAGAATTACTACCAGTATGAGTTTGCTCTATTCTGTATGTGAAATAGATAACCACAAATGATTATATCTATTCAGCTCCTTTCAAGAAAGACAAAAATAAATCCTGTGGAGCAGTGATTGATAAATCAAAGCCACACAATCACTAGCAGAAACATGTTGACTAAATATATCATAAACATGAAGGTGGACTGCAGGAACAGAAACTACATAAGTGTTTTCTGTAAGAAAAACTTAGGGATTGAGGTAAATTATTTAAGTGAAAAGGACAAACTCCCTCTCTCTCTCTCTCTCTATCTCCCACACACACACACACACACACACACACACACACACACACACACACAGAGTTAGAGGGAGAAGAGAGAAGGCAGAGAAGAAAGAAGAGAGAGATGACCAGTCCACGGAATAGGAACTTTAACCAACGAAGGAAGGAAAAATATTAAGAAGAAAGTATGTAAAAATGTAGACTTTCGTTCAGTCTTTGAAAAGATTACATTTGCATTATACTATTGTTATTTCTTATAAATACTAACATAGATTAATTACTATAATATAATTAGATTAAACATGCCATCTACCACTACCTGAGAAATGCAGCATTAATACTAGTTAAGATAAAACAAAATGTTCCACCAATTTTCCATTTAGAGAAAGAATTGCTAATCAGATTGGTAAAGAGAAATGAACATCTTGAAAAGATATATTTAATAGAACATGGAGTTTAAGATATTTTAGTATAAAATCCTAACCTAAGTTCAGAGTTTAAGGAAACTAGAATGTACTGTGACCTTCTTCCTATTTATATAACCTAATTTGTTTCCTTCATATTTATGACATATTTCTTCAAGAGAATTCACCTGAACTTATATATCCTAAACATTAAAAGGGAATATTAATGGAGTTCTCTGCTAGATAAAATGGCCCTAAGCCCACATCCTAAATGGCTCTTCAGGGCAGATAATAAATCAGTCTGGGGAAACAAAGACCCAGATTTCCTGCCACAAAGCTCTCCCACCTCTAGTCTCCTTCCCACCAGGAGATTCAATCCTTCCTCTGACTGCAGCCAGACATCTACCTTCACTATGTCCCACCCAGTGACCCCTTGCCCATATAAAGCATCACCCAGCCAGCCCCTGCCCCATTGCTCTCACCATTGTCTGAGACAGCCTCCTAGCTCATCCTCTACACCTTGTCCCCCTAATAAAAGCCTAGTTTCGAGTGTTTGTATCTCTGGCTCAATTCCCATCCTCTCAAGTATAATTTAGGCCATACTTTTAGAAATTTAATAGACTTGACTATTACATAAATCATGCATACATACAACTCTATTATGTAGAAATCCATTGATTGATATTAAAAATATTGCTTCTTAATATAATACATCTTATTCCAAGTGTTCAGGATATCATAAACATATTTCCTAATCTCTAATAGCTCACAGTAATGCAAGAGATTTAACATGTTTGAGTATTTTGAAATATAAAAATAAAACTTCTGAAACTTGAAATGTTAGAATGAGACATGAGGATACTGATTGGATATTTTTAAAAACTATAAAGTAAAAAAATTTCTTAAATCTTTACTATAAGGATATTGGGAGTATCTAGTCCCGGAATTGGTTATTATTCTGGGTAAAACACGAATTCTTCAATCAGTTCAAGAATTTTAAATACAGTGCACTCTTAATGGAAGTATGACTTAGAAAATACAGTGCAGTCAGATTTGCTGGCAGGTTCCTATTAGCACTCTGGAGCTGAGGCAAAAGGACCCAAGTTCCAGCCCAGCTTGGACAATTTAGTGAGACCTTGACTAAGATAGATAGATAGATGATAGATAGTTAGATAGACAGACAGACAGACAGACAGACACATAGATAGAGGGATGATAGATAGATGATAGATAATAGATAGATAGTTACATAGATAGATAGATAGATAGATAGATAGATAGATAGATAGAAAAATAGATAGATGATACATACATACATACATACATGCACACATAAATACATACAGGACTGAGGATGTACCTAATTGAAAAGGCCCTATGATCCACTCCCAGATACAAAATAACAACAACAACAAAAAAAAACTGTAATTCTTTAGTAATACAAATTTTAAGAAACAGCTTTAAAATTCCTAAGTTTAAACAATATCTAGTATAATTTTAGTCTAAACAAAGAGCCAAGAATAAAGCTCTCAGAAACTGTTATTATATTAAAATAAAAACTAACTTGATACTAAAATAAAAACTACTTAAAAGAAAAAATATATTTTATGTGCTGTAAGTTTTGAAAAGAAAGGCACCAAATTTCCATGATAATTATAAGGACTAATAGGATCCATTTTTACATTTATTTAGGCAGAGAATTATAAAAGTCATGGTAGTACAGATTTAAAAGTCATAGTAAGGTACACTTATCCATGTAGTCCTTCACCATATTTTCTATTTCCTCTATTGTGAGAAAGTTTTGCCTAATACAATTTTCCTGTAACTACGTATTTTGTAGCCCATTACTTTGTTTCAGTCCTTGATACCTCAGAGAACTTCCCAGTTATTTACCAAAGGAAAAAGAAAAAAAAAATCATAAAAAAAATGCATGTAAAACTATGGTAGGTAGACCACTGCTAAATTTGAAGACTAAGCAGTATACAAAGCAAAACTATGAGTAAGATAATTAACTTTCCAAAAGAGTACTTTACCATGTCATCAAAATTATCATCATCCCCCTCTGATGAGTCAAAAGGATCACGTTTGTTAGAAAACCTTTAAGGCAAAAATATAAAACAAAAGCAGGTGAGTTTTGTCCTTAAAAACTGGTTATCTGTACACTAATGTTTCTTGGTTGATACAATTCAAATTTAACCTCAGTTTTTATGAAGGTTTTAGTTACTATTTTCTGTCTCCTTTCAATTTATGAGATGGTCAGTGAAGATTCCCTTTCTCTCACACATCAGAAAGAGACAGCCAACAGACTAGCAGGGCCTGAAAATAATTTGTTGTTACAAATTGCCTGACCTGAAGGCTGAACTGAAAAATCCAACCAGTGGTTGACATAAGTGTTACGTGGACTGAGCAAACCTGTGAATCTTAAGGTAGATAGAATGATATACTGTCCCCTTTCCATAGTCTCTCCCTGTTCCAACAACTAAGCTGGATGTGATGATTTACATTGAAAATGTCTGCTGCAATTATTCTGTGTAGAAGGTGTATGGGGTATGAAGAGGTATACTCATCAGGTCACTCATCCATGTGCAAGTTCAATAGCTGAACTTACTCTCAGGAGTTGGGGGCAGTTGGAGACAGGTCACTGGGCCATGAGCTGGAAGGGTATATTCCTGTCCCTGGCTCTTCTGCCCTCTAATTGCTTTCTTGAAAATTTTACTATGCATATTATCAGATCACAGTGCAATGAAACTAGAAATCAATAGCAAAAAAATCCACAAGAATTAGGCAAACATATAGAAATTAAACAACACTTTTGAATAATCAGTCACAAAGGAAATTAAGGCAGAAGTAAGACAATTCTCAGAATTAAATGAAAATACAATTTATGGGACACAATGAAAGCAATCCCTTGAAGGAAGAACACAGCAGGGGATGCCCACATCAGAAAAATAGAATGAGCTCAAGTAAATAACCTAATGGTGCCTCCCAAGGTCTTAGAAAAACAAGAACAGTCCAAACCCAGAGGTATTTAAAAAAAGGAAATTATAAAAATCAGCACAGAAATCAATGAAATGGAAACTAAATTAACAATACAAAGAATCAATGAATTGAAGAGCTTTGAAAGAACAAAATAGACAAAACTTTAGCCAATCTTAACAATAAAACAAAGACATAAAATAATACAATTAGAAATGAAAAAGTTGAGATCACAATAGAGACTCCAGAAATCCAGATAATTACAAATATGTCAAACAAGTGGAGAACTCAGAAGAAACTAAAGGATTCCTAGATACATATGAACTACCAATGTTGAACCAAAAAGACATATAAATCCTGAGTCATCCAGTCTCAGGCAATGAAATTAAGAATTAATAATAATAATAAAATACCACAGTAACATTCTACAAGCACTTCAGGAAAGATCTCACACCAATACTTGTCCAACTTTTTAATAAAAGTGATAGATAAAGAGTACGTTGAGGGCTGGGGATTTAGCTCAGTGGTACCACCACCTGCCTCACAAGCACACGGTCTTGAGTTCCATCCCCAGTAAAAAGAAAGAAGAGTACTTTGAAAATCATTTTTGGAAGCTAACATTATCCTGATCCCCAAATGAGACAAGGGTCCAACCAAGAAAGGGAAATGCAGGCTAAGGAACACAGATGTAATAATCCTTATCTAGATACTGGCTGACTGAGTGCAACAAATCATCAAAAAGATTATATACCATGACCAAGTAGGTTTCATCCCATGGATTCAGGGATGGTTCAATATATGCAAAACAATAAATGCAATTCAGCACATAAACAGAAGCAGGACAAAAATCACATGATAATCTCAAGACATGCAGAAAAAGTCTTTGACAACAATCATTCATGAAAAAAACCCTGAAGAAAATAGGTAAAGAAGATCTTTATCTCAACATGATATAAGCAATTTATCACTAACCTACTGCCAACATCATACTAAATGAGGGAAAACTGAAAGCCTTTCTTCTAAAATCAGGAAAAAAAAGGAGCTTCATTACCACCACTCTAGATTAACACAGTCCTTGAAATATTAGTCAGAGTGATCAGGCAAGAAAAGAAGGGGGGTATGTAAAAGAGAGACAAATTCAAACATCATTATTTGCAGGTGAAATGATTATGTACAAGACCCCAAAACCTCCACCAAAAGACTCCTTCAACTGATGACCAAATTTAGCAGTATAGCAGGATACAAATAAAAACACAAAAATCAGTAGCATTCCTGTTTATAAATAATGAAAGTATTGAAATGCAATTAGGAAAATAATATCACTCACAAGAGCAAAACAAAAACAAAACCTTACTTGTTAACCTAAGGAGGCAGACCTCTACAATGAAAATTACATTACTCTGAGAAAAAGAAGTTCAAGACATCAGAAAGTGGAGAGATATCCCTTGTTTCTGGATGGACATAACCAATATTGTCAAAATGGCCTTACTTCCAAGACTGATATACAGATTTAATCCAATCCCAAGCAAAATGCCCATGTTATTTCTCACAGAGCTAGAGAAACAATCCTATATGGAATCAGAGGAGACCCAGAATAGCAAAATCAATCTTGGATAACAAAAGCAAAGCAGGTGACATCATATCCCCGATTTGAAGTTACACTATAAAGCTATAGTCAGTAAAGCCACAGGGTACTGGCACAAAAACAGGCATGTGCATCAGTGAAACAGGATAGAAGAAACAGAAACAACCCCAGCACACAGAGCTGTGTGATCTTTCACAAAGAAGCCAAAAAATACAATGGAGGAAAGATAGACCCTTTAATAAACATTGCTGAGAAAACTTGATGCTGACATGCAGAAGATTGAGTCTACATCTGTATATCTCACCATGTACTAAACTAAAATCAAAATGGGTCAACTATCAAAATATTAAAACAGAAACAATCTGCTAGAAGATAAAATAGGAATACTTTTGAGGACATAGACAAAGGCAAGAACTTTCTGAATAGAACCCAAATAGCATAATAAATAATATACAGAAACAACAAATGCTATCATATAAAATTCAAAAGGTTCTGAACTGCAAAGGAAACAATCATTGAAGAGTGAAGAGACAAACTTCAGAATGGGAAACAATTTTTACCTGGTATTTCACAGGCAGAAAACTAACATCAAGAATATATAAAGAAGCCCGGTGTGGTGGCACACGCCTGTAATCCCAGCACTGAGGAGGCTGTGGCATGAGGGTCCCTGTGAGTTTGAGACCAGTCTGAGCTATATAGTGAGTTTCAGGTCAGTCTTAAATATACAGTGGGACCCTGTCTCAAAAAACCAACGCCCCCCAAAAAAGAAGAATATATAAAGAACTCAAAAATATTAGACCTCCTCAAATAAAAGACACAGATGAAAAATGGGTAACCAAAATGAAAAGATACTTCTCAGAAGGACAAATGGCCAATACATACATGAAAAGATGCACACAATTGCTGGTCATCAGACAAATGCAAATTAAAACCACAATGCAAATACCATTTCACCTCAAAAATAATGGTTGTCAATAAAAATCTAATTATAAATGGTGATGAGAATAGGGGAAAGAGGAACTTTTCTACATTGTTGGTGGGAATATCAACTACTACAACCACTAGGGAAATCAATATGGAGATGCCTTAAAACACTAAAATTAGCAATTCCATTTCTTCCAGCTATGCTCCTTCTAGATATCTTCCCAGACTTAAAATCATAGTACAGGGATACATGTGTATCCATGTTTACAGCAGCACAATTTATAATAGCTACAACTTAGAAGCAGTGTACATGTCTACAGGAGAATGGTATTTATATACAATGAAGGACTACACTGCCATAAAGACAAACTTGAGGCATTCATAGATTAATGGATGCAATTTGAGAATATCATGCTTGGTGAAATAAGTCTAACACACAAGCTCAAATATTCTCTTATATGATGACTTACATACATATATATGTGGAGCTCAAATACTTCCCCAAATTATCTGTTTCATTGTTTCAAAAATACTTTAATATAGATACTAATTTGTTTCATTTATATAACTAGTTTATCTTAGATCACTGGTAAAAAAGCTTTTTCTTGTAAGAATCTTTTTGGTTTATATCTTGTACTCTTAGGAAGTACTTTGAAGATAATGGTACACAGAATACTGACTATTTTTTCTTATTACTTTATAATAAAACTTTCTTTTTTCATAAAAAACAGCAAACATCACTCCATATTACTGCATAACAGACCTTGAATCCTACTATAGCGTTCTTTGTGCTGTCCAATCCAAATAATTGCTTTCTGATGGTATGTGTTGATATCTTTCATTTTATCCCAACAATTGTAACTCAGCCTTTTTCCTATTGATGTATTTGACTATAAACTATTGGACTTTTTACTACTCTAGAACACCACTAAAGTCTTATTTTTATAAAAGAACAACTATACCTTCCTGGCTCGTCCAGAGCATGAATATTTTCTTTCTCCTTTATAAGCAGTTCTTCCACTTGCTGCTTGTTTTCCCTTACAGCAATTGAATGTGGTGTGAGGTCATCCTGTGAATGAAAAAAGTTATTATCCACACAATTGTCTATTTCTTAACAGAACTGAAAACCTGGAGAAAGCTCCCATTGCTCTAACCTAATACAGTAGACACTTGACTTATAAACTTGATTAGTTCCGAGGGCTGGTTGTAACTATGTCATGACAGCTGAGATGTGGATGTTTACCTCGGTACACGCTATAGATAACAAGAGGCAGATAAATCTTCCATTAACCTCATTAACCCAAGTTGTTCATATGTCAGGCCAGCCATAACTTGAAGGTCCACTGTATAAGGAATAAATGCACAGCGGTCTCTTCCTCCTCGTTATGCTTCCACATGTGTGGTTCCTGAAATGCACTACCTCTCCCTAGAGTTGCTACATGAACTCAGGTCAAAACTCACCTCAGACTTTCACTGATTCCAAGGATCTTTCCTTCTGTCACAGATTCATTATGGTACTTTGAGTTATGTGATGGCTCCCACCTGAATCAAAAGCATCTTGAGGGCAGGGGATATATCTTTTATCTCAGTAGTCCCAATTCCTAAAGCATAGTAGTAAAAGATTTAAGTATTTTTATTGAATTGATGAGCTAAATAATCTCTAGTGCAGAGTTTCTCAGTCTATCCTCCAAAGAATAATTTTTCATGTTTTTTGCCTCAACAGATTCACTAATCATCTGTTTGAGAGATGATTATAAAACTGCATTATTTATTCAGTATTAAAATCTCTTTAATTTTGCTTTATTCCTATTGGACAATACTTTTTTCTGTCAAATATCAACACCTGAGGAATTAAGGGTTTTAGGGATACAGTGTTGAGGGCTTTCCCATAACATGGAAGTTTCTTCTGGATTATGGAGGAAACCTGCTGGATTCTATGTATGGTGTCAGGATCCAAATACAGATGTCAACAAATCCTGCTCCAATTGAGTCCACAGGATATGGTCACTCATTTGTGAAATAGGCTCCAAATGAACTCTGACTGCTTATTACTAAAATGTCTATGGGTTTTCCTCCTATTATTAGTTGAAAATTTTATCTTAGCTGAGAAAAGGCTCAGTACAAAACTTTGATTCTCACTGATTATGATAATCCTAAAATCGATATGCCTATGTGCTCTTTTTAATACGTTTCATTCTGTTCCCATTCTAATTGCTAAGGCTTTCTCTTTGTTTTAAGCAAAATTATATATATATATATATATCTCAGAGGTAAAACTATAATTGTTTAGCAATTAAAAGTCTAATGATGCCCTATATGGATTAGTTTTATCATAATGAAAGCCACTAAGTCACTTGTATTTTTAAGGGATAATGCTGAAGAGAAAGATATAATATTGGTGGTAACAGGCATAACTTATACAGTTGGAATTAGAATTAACCTAATAATGCTTGTAGACATTCCAACAGGAACATGAAAACTTGTCAAAACAACTTCTAAATTCAATTCCATTTCTAAGATCATACCATAAAATACAGATAACGTTCTTATGAATTCATCTAAAATATATGAAACTTCTTACTCTTTATAAAAAGATACCATAAATCAAAAGCTGAAAGTCATGAAGGTAGAGTAGTGGATAGGAGAAAATACAGAAGTGGGTTAATAGCCAACTGGAGAAGACACGAGAGCTTCAGATACAGGGGGCACACCCCAAGAGTCATATGGGCTCCCAAGAGACTAGTTCTCTTCTTTTTGAGAATCTTGAAACCCCCAAATTCTGGTGGAGTTTCCTGAAATTTCAAAGTGGACTCACTGTATGGAGGCAAACTGAACAGAGCTAAGAGCCACAGTCAGTCCATAGACTTTTGCTCATATTTTTGCTGTGTGTGTGCTTCCAAATGGTTGTGTACAAAGCAAATGTGTGCATGTGAAATCCTTCCTTTAACATCCTATTTTACTGAAAAGTGAAATCAAGGGGCTGGGATTAAGCTCAGTGGCACCATGCATGCCTGGCAAAAGCAAGGCCTTGAGTTTGATTCCCTATTAAAAAAAAAAGTGAGTTCCCATGATGTAATGAAAAAGATTCATTATGCCTATTTTAATAGTTTTGAACACTTTAATTTATCCTCCATTTCTATGCAATCTTCCCCAACTGTTAATTAAATAAATAGTTTCATAGGAGTACTCAAAATAAATTATCCAAAGAACTTCCATTTGGGCATAGCGGTGAACACCTGTAACCTCATCACTCTGTGGGGCCAGGCAGGAGGATCCAACTTAGCAAGGCCTGGTCTCAAATTTTCAAAAGGGGTGAGGAGTGCTGAATGCTGGGGAGGTAGCTCAGTTGGAAGACCCTAGGTTCAATCCTCAGTACCACACACATGAAATTAATAAAAATGCTCAAAAAGCATTCTCATCTACTTTCTGACTAATTTCATTGATTTCTGCCAGGGCTCACTGAACTTAAAACATTGAGACGTCTACCACATGCCTTCAACTAAAAACAGGCTCATGGTTGCCACTATTCAGTTCAGAGAATTCTGAAAATAATCAACATTTGTTGACCTTATCCTCAGAATGGTAATGATGAGATGTAAAACTCTTAAAGATTCAGCCTCAGCCTAACCGTAAGTGAATTTCTGCAGAGCGTCTCAACAGCAGTCAGTGACTAAAGGTTGGCGGGAAAGTGGTGGTAATCTGCACAGCAACAGCACCAATGATACTCCTCTTAACTTCCCACTGACAGAGGTGGAGAAAGACAAATGAAAACTGAGCTAATATGTTGGAAAGGAGAGATTGGAAGAAAGTGGTATTTAGTCAAACTCTTCCACAGATTTCTTAAGTTCTTGAGATTTGGGAATTCATCATTATACTTGCTTACTAAACAGTTCTGAGCTATATCAGAGGCTTGAGGAAATAGTTTTAAATATCCATGTCCAGACCTTACTAGATTTTCTGAATCAAAATCTCAGGGGACAGTCTCAACTCATACATTTTCAAAACTTTCCCCAGACCTCTGAGAAGTGCAAGTCTAGATAAGAACTAGAGAACCTAGAAGGTCACTTTGGTCTCATCTCTCATCTACACAGCTGATTCTTTTTACCATTTGGGGATTTCGTCAAAAGGAGGGAAAGTAAGAGAAACTTACTCCCCGTAAGCTCCATTTAATCCTGTTGGGTAGGGGCAGGACCAGACTAGTAAATTCAAAATGCATTATACAAGCCCCTTATTGCCCAGCACCCAGCAAAACATTATAGGTTTGAAAGCAGAATTTAGATTATTATATCAGTTGCTGTTTCTGCCTGAAACAGAGAGAATGTCTGCTAATTATTTGTTTATTTCCTCTTGCTTACCATGTAAGCACCATCCAGCCAATGCCAATCTGGCTTCATCGGAGCTCTCCTAAAATTGCAACTTTGCAAATATACAACTTTCTAAACTAAGAATTTTTATTCCTAAGCGAGGTACAGCGGTGCATGCCTGTAATCCCTGCACTGTGGGAGGCTGAGGCAGGAAGACTAAAAGTTCAAGCCCAGCTTGGGCAACAAAGTGAGCCCCTGTCTCAAAATAAAAGATAACATTAAAGAGCTGCAGATGTGGCTCATTGTGAAGGCCCTGGGTTCTATCTCCAGCATTGCAAAAAAAACTTTTCTCAAAACTGGAAATCAGACACACATTGTTTAAATACTGCATTGCTTCTCTGGTGTGAGAAACTAAAAGGTGAAATAAAGACCAAAATGTATAACAGGCATTGGGAAATGGTAAGAAAATGTTCAAATGGGAAGGGGCACAAAGGAGAGGGAAGGGGATAGGAAGGATGGGACAAGCAAAAAAGTGAAAACAGAAACAAAGCGTTTGTATATAGGAAGGGGAGGGGGTCAAAGGGAAGGAACAATGGAAAAAACAAGAGGCGGGATATAACATGTACAGGTGCAAATTTCCCAGTGGTGAGTGTTATCATTTTATATATAAAATCTACCAATAAATGTTTTGGTTCAAATAAAAACAAACAACCAGAGAAACAAAAACATACAAAGAGCATCTTGTCTGTATATAGAGACCAGAAAAATATTTTTTCCAAAAACAAGAAAACAAACAAGGGGAAGAGATTTAGCTCAGTGGTACTGCACCTGCCTTGTAAGATCAAGGTCCAGAGTTCAATCCCCAGTACAAAAAAACAAAATGAAAAAATGATAACCCCCACTGACCTGCATATTTCTAATCACTTTCCCTTTGCAGTTTTCCCATTTAAGTGAGACCACTAAAAAATGAATCACTTTTATGACTTGTCAGCAGCAACAAGATTTCCACTTATTATGAGATGAGGTTGTTCTGTTTAAATTTTAAAATAAAGCCTATTTCCAAGGCAAATGTTGCTGTCTTGTGTTGTTTTACACTAAGTAAGGGGAGGAAAAAATACTTTGATAGAAATAATATCAGAAAAAAGAAAAGACCTACTTCTTAAAACTTCAGTGTTTTCACAAATATTGCCATAACTTCATAAAAGCAACCCGTATCCTCTAGTGTTTCTTTAACATTATCAACATTTAAAGTGAAATCTTTAACTATTAAATTATTTTAAATATTGTGTTTTTATTCATGGAATGCTTGAGCTTATGAAAAACTGACCCTACCTATATGTCACTGTTAACACGCATCTACTTCAAATACCTTGGAAAAGAAATTGGTTGATCTATACCTTATTTTTGGCCTCAGTATCTGCATGGTGTGAAAGCAGTTTTGCCACTATTGATGAGTTTCCCAATAGAATGCATAGTGGAGAGCAGTGTTGCCGCTGGCATCTGCAACATTCAGATTGGCACCATGTTCCAAGAGAATAGTTGCACAATCTTCCTGGTGGTATTGTACAGCCTGTGGGTATTGTAAGAAGAGAATGTCAACTCCGGGAACTCAAAAGAGACCTTCCTCATGCCTCACCAAGTAGTGATATTAAATTACATCAATTAAATTTAATTTCAGCAATTAAATGCAATCCATCTCATGCTGAAATTGGTGCCTGCTACCCACCTTAATCAGGGCGGTACTGTTTTCCCTGTCATGGGCATCGATGTCACATTTTTTCTCCACCAGGAGAGTCACCACTTCTGGATGGCCATAGATACAGGCAAAATGCAAAGCAGTCCTATGACAGTGAGAAAGATTCTTAGGAAATTACAGAGCTCTATTTCAAAATGCACCATTATTCTTCTAATCGTGAACATTAAATAGCCTTCAACACAAATAGTTAATTTTCTTCTAAAATGTACAATACTTATTACTCACCAACTCATGGAAGAGCAGCCAGGTGATTTTGTGTTTGTGTGTGTGGTGCAGGGATCGAAGCCAGGGTCTTGCCCACACTGAACAACTGCTCTATACTGAACCACAACAGCCTCCCCATCCCAGAGCAGCCTACTGTTACACAAAGAGCAAATTTTGGATTGAGCTCAACTTGAATTTAATATTTCCTTTAAGTTCTTACTTTCTAGCTGTATTTGAGCCTTTCTATGCCTCAACTTTCTCACCTACAAAATGATGAATGAAGTTATCTCACAGTATACTACTGTGCTGGTTAAATAAGAATCCATACAAAATATTTAGCACTATTTCTAGAACAAATAACAATAATCATTAGCTGTTGTAATCACTACTTAAGAAAGACAGCATTTCAATTAAGTAAAATAAATCATTTGTATAAGAAGGTGCAACTATCCATGTTCAGCACTCAACCTTTGGATACGAATCCCAATTCAATGAGTCAGTGCTGCCACGTATAAAATTGCTTCCTGGGAAAACAGCCTCAACATCTCATCTCTCTACATGAAAATCCTGCAGCAGTGCAATGAAAAAGTGTTCTTCACATAAAGTCATCACATATTCTGTCATGCCATATATTAAGTAAAATATGATACAGCAGCAGGTCTATGGCAGCAGGGGCCACATGGTTGGTATTTAAAAACTACTACAAGGAAAGAGGGCTAAATAACAAAGTAAAATAATATAAAATAACAACACTTAGTTTGATTTTCAATTTAACCCAATAAAACACAGGTTTCAAATGGGTAGGTATGGCCCATTTTATTCAGTATTTATATTTATAGAGTGCACAGAAATCAAATATTTCTAATGCTTAAAATTAGCTTTTAGTACTGTTTCAGATCTTCAAGAGTCTTTAGTGAGTCTCATAACTTCCTATCTTCAGAGGATGTTTTGGTATAAAAGAAAGAAGGAAAGCTTCAATTGAAATTGAAGTTCTTGGGCAGAGGGGGTGAAGGGGTGGCAGAGGTAAGGGGAAAAAATGAGAATCAAGACTTGTCATGTAGAGGTACAAGATCCCAACAATGAATGTAACTGTACAGTATCCCTAAAATGTACCAATAAACTCAATTAAAGCTGAAAAAAATTGAAGTTCTTCAATTTTGAATCTCTCAACTTGCTAGACTGAGCAAGTAAGCATGATGGTTTAAGGAGGGAGGGATCCTGATAGTAGAATATATAATAGGTATTCAGGTTATGTTTGGAGAATAAATGGATTGAAAGAATGGATAAATACTTGGGGAGTATAAAGTAAAGCAGTAATTCTTCAATAGTAATAATCACTTATATGTGATATTTTTTACTTCCATAAAGATACAGTTAAAATGATCTAGACTTGCATGTACGTAGTAAATCTATATATAGTACAATGCACAGAATTATGTATACATATAATAAAAAAATCTCTAAGCACAGAAGATTCTTTTACTTCTGAAGGAGCCTAGAGCTGGCAGAAATACCAATACACGCACAGACAATACAAAATTGTTATCTGTGCTAATTCATATTCCTGTTGCTCTCCAGCTTATTAACAGTAAACTTTTCTTTGAATTTTATATACATTCACTGTATGAATCACAGGTAAGAGAAAGGAAAGAAAGGCACACAGAACTATTTACAAAACTCATCACATGATAATCCAGACAGCAAGACTCAAAAAACATCAAAATGCTGAACCATTACTGAGTATGTTTTCTGAGGTCAATGAAATAAAATTAGAAACAAAAAGATAGTGAGAAAATCTTAAATATTAGAAATAGAAAAAAAACTTCTAAATAATAAAAAAGGAACAGAAAACTTCATTTATTCAAATGCCTGAAAATAAATTTTATCCAATTTTGTACACATTTTGGCTAACACAGACTTCAGTCTATTTTTATGTACACAAAATCAAACTGACTTTTTTTTCTCACTTGATGTACCAGAGTACATCTTTTCATGTCAACATACATCAATGTCTATGCCAACTTCAATGGCCATATTATTCTATCGTATGAATGCAGTGCAATTGATACGATCTCTTTGATGGACTCTTCTTAAGCAATGCTGAAGAAAAGCCAATGACATGAGTCTCTATTTACTAAAGATATTTTAGAAATATGGAATTGATGGGTGGAAACATGCTTTTTAAAAATATGCTACAGAACTCACACCAAATTGTCTATTTAAATGTCATTAGCCACCACAAATTTTAAGCACCAGTATAAACTGCTCTTCATCTTCAAAATCTTTGTAGATGTGGAACAGCATTTCATTCCTTTTTTTTAAAATTAAATTCCCTTTACCAGGGACTCTCTTATTTTTTTTCCATGTTTATAGGTCACTTGCAGGTCTGAACAAGAATACTTTACCCAATTTAGAGTTCAGTGTAGCTTACTGGTGATCCCCAACTTCAAAATAAATAAATAAGAATTCAGTATTTTTCCCTTGATGAGGTGAAAAATATTTCTGTAAAATGAAGAAACATTTTGCATCTGATGTATGTTGTAAATCTTTTGTAAGTATATTGTCTTTCATTTTGTTAACTTTTCTCTAAAATAAAGGAGAGTTTGATTTTTCTTTTGATTGTCAAACATCAGAATGCCTGTTTCTATGCAGGTTGTGTGTTTAGCATGCACCAGACTCTGAGCACAACCCCCAGCACAAAAAAAGAAAGAGTGCTTGCTTTTGAGGTCATTCTTAGGAAGGCACGAATAGGCATTTATGTTTTCTTGTGGTACCTTTCTCATATTGTATTATTTCTAAAATGTAACCTATACTCTAGGAACTTTTGTGAAAAATAATTTCTAGCTCATAATTTTCAAACAGTTAATAGGCATTTCATTCATGGGTAACTCTGATTTTCCAACTCATGGGGATGTCACCAGTATTCAGTTCTAAATTCTTACAGATACTTGAGTGTTTCTGGATTTTCTATTAAGTTACATTCATTTATCTGTCTTTTAGGATATTAGCAAACAATTTGTTTTGATACCCAGCAAGGCAGGACTTCACTACGTTTTCTTAGTGAAAAAATAGAAAAAGAGGGTGTGTGAAGTCAAGCGTTAGGTGACAGTTTTATTGGGTTTATAGAAAACGGATGAACAGAAAGTTCACATTTTGGGACTACTGAATATTTCTACTCCAGAACATGGAGCCATGTTTCCATTTCAGTTCCCTTGTAACATTCTTCAGTAAAGAACATATGTGCACAGGTGAGGGCTGATAGAAAATGGATACTAGATTTTATTCAAATAAGTTCTAGCCCTGAATTTACATAATATCGTATCATTATATAATGTATTAATATATGTAATGTTATATATATAATGTAATAATATAAAATATAACACATAATATAGATATAAATATTATATAAATATATTCTATATTATACATCATATATTACATATTGTGTTATATATTAATACACTATATAATGATATATCATATAATACATTTTATAATATATTATATATAAATTATACACACATT